TAAAAAGCCAAGTAGAAAATGATCTCTCTTATTCTTTACTTTGAAATATGCCTTCTAAAACGTTCGTTATTAACATTTTCCCCACATTTTATTAGTTCAAATGTTTTTTTTCCTTGGATCTTGTAATACTATAATTACCAATTTCTTAAAAATAATTATTATACTACTCTCAAAGGCACCGTAAAAATTACAGTCTCGATGGAATGAGGCTTTCAAATCAAAATAATCTAGAGCAGATATATCGTCAATACAATTTCTAATTATCTAATCTGAAAATCACCACTATAATATCATTATCAATGCAGCTTAAACAACGAAAATGTTTCCACACTAATATGTACTTTTATGGATGTTTGAAGATTTTTTTATTCACTTTTTAAAAATATTTAATTATAACTACAATCGCTTGAATGCAGGAATGAAAATTTTTGATATTTTCGTGTTCGATAGTTAGTATTTGTATCGCCGATATGGACAAATGAGATAGACCAGACATATAATAAACCGTTAGTAACAACTACTTTAAGTTCACGAGCCGGATTTATAAAATACAATATATATATATATATATATTTTGTTGGGAGGGCTAAAGAATGAGAGGGAGTGATGAAACTTTCACAGAGCTCTATGCATAGAATGTTTTCCCACAATTCCATTCACGATTTTAATCCGGGCCAACAGATTTTCAATAGGAAGAAGCAGACACAAAAAGGAATCCTTATGAAATGCTAAGAATTGGTAGGAAGGAGAGCAGAAAGCTGAAAGCTTGTGAAACGGAGTGTGAATGGGCCCAAGCAATATTCTGTAGCCTGGGTAATATTTCCTTAGGTTATATATCTCGCTTCGGTGGTGAGATGCCCTCTTTTTGTCCATGTTTGGTCATTGTGGTCTCGCCGTTAGAAGGTTTTCTCTTCACATTGGTATCCCCTTCCTAAAGGTGTTATGGTTTTAAGTTGGAGGTCCAAATGTCATCTGGTTACCAAGTACAGCGTATAATAAAAATAATGGCGGTTTGAAAAACATTATTTGTTTACAATCGCTACAGAATGTACCGAATGTTATAATACACGTGGTCATGTCAACATCTTAGAAGTGATTATACAGCCACGTTCAAAACAAAAAAAGGTTAACTTATAATTTTGATACTTTAATTCAATATTAAAACGGACTAAAACGTGAATGCATAAAAGTTAATTGATTCATTTTTACTTTTTGGAGAACTGAGACTCCAGGAATTTTTGAAGTTGCTATTTAAAAAACTTATGACTAATAAATATAACTAATTTCTAACATATTGGTAATGTCGCATTTTAATTGTTTTGTATGTAGTCAAATAGGAAACTTTAATTTAAGTAATAATCCATTAATTTTATTTACCATGAAATATCATTTGTTTATATGTGATCCTTAAATTTATAAAAATTAAATGTTTATCGGTAGACAACTCGTCTAACCTTATTATATATTAAAAAAATATTTAGTGTCTGGAAAAGATATTTTCTTAAAACAATAGATGTGGGGATAACGAAAAACAATCACTCTATCATAACATCAACATGGCATTGTCTTAAAAAACTGAAATATATCGCTTAATACAATGCTGTTAATATTCTTTTACATTTAAAAGGTGGACCAAAAATATAAATAAACTGTATAGATCTTTCATTCAAACTAAAAAACGGATTAAAGACTTCATTGTTGAGCTGAATAGGTTACTTTTTTAACATTTCCGGAAGTTAAAGGCAGATAAAAAGTGGAGGGAGTTTTTTTTCTCAGCAGTAAGCTCGTGGCTGGTGCCTTAAAAAATACATTCCAGTGTAGTAGTTTTCACTGAGGTATTTCAAACCAAAATTTAGTGCTTAAGGTTCGTTATTTAATTTTTTAGTAACTAATGTTTTTCTTGTAATTACGAATTCTGAAAATTATTTTAAGTAGTATGATTATTTATTTTTAGTTAGATATAATATATGAATGATTTTAATGAAAATTAAAGTTAGTTGAAAACCTGTTTCTGTGGTCATATCTTTTTCGGGCTTTTTAGCTGATTATTTTTAACTACACCATTTCTGCTCTTTATTTTAATGGCTAAATATATATTTTTTGAAAAATATGACTCCATTTAATATAAAGCTAATAAAATACATCTATAAATTTTTTTTACAAACTCCTCTGAAATGGAACCTGATCTTAAAATACCTTCATTTGATTTACAAACAATATAAATGTTTGTTAGCCATACCAAAGTTAATGTCAATTAGAAATGAAAAATCAGAAAGCTGCATAAATTAATTGTTAAGGTACAATAAGAAGATTCTGTACACTAAGTATTGTATCTCTAAAGCAGTGACAAACATCTAACCAATCAACATGTTAACAATGAAGGCATCATTATTAACAAAAAAAAAAAAAAAAACACAAGATCCCATTATGAAGACCAAATACAGTACTTCACACACCACCAGCCAAAAAGATGCATCAATTAAAGAGGCAGGCAGTACCTCACTCCAATCTACAAACTGTATTTAGATGTATAGTTCTATTTTATTGTTCTGTCTTAAGTTCCATCTCTAGTTCATGACCTTTTTCTATCTGTCGAAGTGATTTATTTTGTTTACATTAATGTCATCTTTTTTTCCTGTTCTGATGACGCCTGCTTTGGCAAAACACTGATAGGTTGGTTGTTTACTTTAATTTTAGAGACTCTACACTTTGTGTTGTAGATCTTTCAATTATATCCTAATTGTAAATAATGTTATGTATTAGGACACTAAAAAATATAATTTATTCAAGAATATATTAATCCCTGACACATTTCTTGTTTATTATCATATATAACCTAATGCGGTTGTATTCCGTGAATAATATATTTTGATTTTTATTCCTTACAAAAATTTATAACCTCATTTAAATATGATGCTCCCCATAAAATTTAATGTCTAATAAAAATATGCCCCCTCACCCATAAATTTTAATAGCATAACTTGCACCATGGTTACCCCTAACATGCACATAAACATGTTAAGGTTAAAACAGTCGACTAACTTCCTTCAATAAATATGTTTAGTACAAAAGCACTAAAACTTTAAATGTAAACAATAGTCCTTGTTATTCAAAATACTATTTGAAATAATAGTATTTTTTTTAACATATCTTAAATTTGCATTAAAAGGTTGATGGGGGTGATGTTTTATGTATATTAAATATCTCCCTAATAAGGATTAACCTGAAAGCAAGGAAAATTTGTGTGTGTGTGTATATATATATATATATATATATATATATATATATATATATTTATTTATAGTTTCCTTGCTTTCAGGTTTATCCTAATGTTTTTATTAATTCGAGGCTTCAAATTTAGCTAACCCACCACCACCTTAAAAAAATGTGTAATAAAGATTTATAATTCATTGTTTTTTTTATTTTTAGCACAATGTCTAATATCTGTAAGTTGGTAGTCCAAAAAATTTAATTAAAAAAACATTTGTACATAATTAATAGAATTTAATTTATTTTTAAATCATCAGATTAACAAGGTATTTTACAGAAGATAATTAAAATTTATAAAAAAATAATGAATAAATACAATTGTTAGTGTATTATTAAGTTTTCAGGTAAACAAAGTGTCCTATTCATTTGTTTTATTAGTTCGATATTACTTCAAAATATCTTCTTTTGGTTTAGTTTTGATCTATAATTTTACAATTATACTTCTCATTGACATCCAATAAATTGTATTGGTAAGTTCTTCAATACTTCTTAATGGTAATGGTTCTGTACTTGAAATGAAATAAAACAGGAAAAGTCTTAGAGTTGCCTGTTGGTAAAAATCTTACATCCTCTATTATTCTAACATGGCATTGTGTAGTTGTTTGTTGACCCAATGAGGCAGAAACAGATCCACCATCTGCCAATTATTACCTGCCTCTGCTCTGCCCTACTTTTTTTCTTTGAAGTAGTTGATTGACAGCTTCATTATATGAAATTTCATATTTCATAATAGTAGTAGCTCTCAAGCCCAAAATCCTTTTGTTGGGTTCAATCGATGGTTGGATGCTGCGCAGAATCTGAAGAGATGAATAGAAGCTTGTCGGAGTCACAGTTGGTTTCGGTGAGCATTACTTGTACGGTCGAGCTAGTCTCTATATCTATATTGTTCCTAATTTTTTCCTTTTCTTTACTTTCTTAAATGGTAAAGTAATACTATTAGAATTTACTCTTCTAGTCTCACCTTCCAAGAATTCCTTTCTTTACTTAGTGTGGTAATATGTTTTCTGTTTTTATAGTTTGTAGAAATTTATTGTATTCTACTGTATACAAGTATAAAGATTACTTAGAACAATGTTCAGTGAGCCATGCTTTAACAGATATGAAAGTTTTTGACAGGCTTTACCTGTTATGTTTTGATTTTTTGTTTGAACCCCCTTCCGAGGCCCTTACTGGTCTAGTATTGATCGGCGTCGGTTTTGTAAGATCTTTTATTGTATTGTTTATGATCTGAACACCATTATGACTCAGAGCAAAAACTTCTTTTATTTCTGACTTTAATTCCATGTTTTCTTTTGACAAGCAATAATGAATTCATTAAAAATTTTGGTGTTGAAATTATTTTTTAAAATTGTTTAATTCAATTGCTTAAATGAAATTGGTACAGATTGCCTATCAAATCCTAATCGTATTCATTAATTGTTTTCTTAATACATTATTTTTTCTTAACTTTAAACAGCTGTTATATCATGGTTCAAACCTTAGCAATTAAAAAAAAAAAAAAAAATACTAAACACTTTACAATTCCATGAAATTTTTTTATAGGATTTTTGTTATAATTTTAAAAATTTAATGAATTCTGATTACCTTAAATACATAGATGATTTAAAAAGAAGCCAGCCTGCATTTAGAAGATAATTAAAATCTTTTAAAAATCTACAAATTAGTCTTAACTCCTTCAATTACAAATCAATTATCTTCAATTGCTACTAATGTTTTTTGTTTTTTTTTAGATTTATTGGAATGCTGATTTATAAGGTCCTGAGGGCCGTCCCTCGCATGAGATGAATGTCTTCCACCAAAATGCCCCCCGCCCACCAGTCGTACCAGGTAAATCTTACAAATCTGTTATAATATGAAGTAAATGTATAAGAGAGAACTTGTTGTTACGGTGTTTGTAATGGTATTAGGCCATTCCAGGTGAGGAAACAGAGGGAGTTCCAAAAGAAAGTAGTGTTGCCAGCAAAATAGTACCCAACAACACAGCACCCACTCCTCGTACTTCCACCTTATATCAGACTTCTATTCATGGTAAGTAAAGTTATTCTTTTCTTTGACTTATCTCTAACAACTATAAACTACATATTGAAGTATTTTCAAATACAAAAAAATAAATGATATTGCTGTTTTAAACAGATGGATGTGCACCTTTGGGCTTTGAACCAGAAGGGCAGAGCGGCTCACCCAAGAGGGAGACTGCTTTGCCTCCTGGGTGTCTTACCTGGGCCAGGGATCTCCACTCTCTTCTGTCTGATCCTGAAGGCGTTAAACTCTTTCGGAAATACCTTGAAGAAGAAGGGGCAAGTGACGCCCTTGATTTTTGGTTTGCTTGTGCTGGACTGCGCAAACAGGCACCAAGTCCACCCGACAAGGTTGCCCAGATAGTCCGTGTTATTTATAGGTAACTGTTTTTATATTAATTTTATCACTTTTCATTTATCATTTATCAAGTTCCTAGTGCTGTGCTTGTGCTCCTGTGCTTGAATAATATGTCATAATTATAGTTTTGTTAAAAGTAATTAATGAACTATGGTAATTTTAAAATTGATAAATATATATATATACACACACGTTAATTCCTTGATTATTTGCACAATCTCATTGTTATAAATAAGTTCAAGTGAAAGCCATTGTAATTGCTGGTTATTTTACAATTGTAATTATGCCATAGTATATTTCTTATTATTTTCATTATTATTTCAGGAGATTCTTCCTCAAAACCCAGTTAGAAATTGATGACTCCCTAAGAAAACAGGTTCATACACGTCTAAAAGACGCAACAACACCCTTGGATATTCATGTATTTGATGAAGCTTGTGAATCGGTTGAGAAGCTTATTACAGATACTACCTACCCAAACTTTCTTAGATCTGATGTATATCTTTCTCATGTGCGAGCTATACAAACTGGACCAGTTTCTGATTTGTAAGTGCCTCAATTTTCTATGATTTTTACCTTATCAGAAAATATAACGTAAGGTATTAAATATTGCTGGTAATTTAGATACTTATTGAAATACTGCTTTATTGTTCTATTTAATAAACATTTTAAAATTCTTTGACGATTATAATTTTACTGTCTTAACTTAATTATAGAATTGCAACATTTGATTTTAACTAACAAATTACTTTTTAGAGTATTGCAAAAGTTGACATTTATGTTTAATTAACAGGAGTAGCAGTAGTGGTGAAAGTGGAGAAGTAAGTGCCGATGGAGGTCAAAGCAGTGGAGGTCTCGCAACTCTCCATGAAGACAAGGAGTTAGAGACTACTTCATCGTTCCCACCCCTTACTAAAGATATGTTGTATATTACTCAACAAAGGAGGGCAGTCGGCCTCCGCCCGAAGACAGAAACCTTTGCTGGGTACTTATGATTAATAAAATAATTATTATTCATTTTCAAAGATGACGTTGTGGATAGAGTTCAAAGTATAAGATTAAATGTAGTTTGCTTTGTATGATACCTTTTAGTTAAATGTTTTTATGTTATATGGAAAAGCACAATTAGCAGTAAAGCTTTTATCTGTGACTCCTTGTGATTTTGTTTGATCGTCATTGTAGTTTTGATTTTTGTAGAACTTCTTTTTTTTTAATGCTGCTTGCATGATTTATTTGATTTAATATAAAACCAGCGCACATAAATATATTCCTTGAGTGATATTATATTGCTTATTTATTATTTGTTTATTATTAAGCTTTGTATGCATAGTTAAATCGAACAAGATTCATGATTCTCCAAAAACTAGGCATTTTGGATGATAGAATTTTAATAAATGAAATGTTATCTCCTGAAAAATTTATCTAAATTTTTCAGCATAAAACGTGGTTGACTTAAAAATGACAAAATTTATGTTTCCTGATTATCTGAATGTAATCAGACTATGGTTTATAGTAACTTGTTGTAGGTGTTAATGTTTGCTGTCACATATTATCAATTATGTGAGATTAATGTCAATATCACGAAATAACCTATCAATTGATATAGAATATAATTCCGTTATCAATGACTTTTTAGAATCATCAAAACAGAGAAACTTTCAATAGTAATTTGAACGATTGAAAATGTCAAAAAAACAAATTAAACCTCAAAATAGTATCATGTACTATGAACAACATCAATTTTGTGGTTTGGAGCAATTTTTGCTTGAAGTGGAAATACTAGTGTGTTTCACTAGGAGATTTTTCTTTCCTGGTCTTAAAAAAATGATACAAATCTAGCTATGTATATTATATCATGTATAATCTAGCTTAGACCTGTCATTAATATATACTGTTAAAAGTAAAAAATTACTAACTGAGATAGCCCAAAGCAATGCCAATCAAGTAGTTTATGATCAATTATAATAATAATTTTGAGAACAAAATATCAAGGAAGTAGTGGTCTATGGCATATATCAAGTTAAAAAAGATTGTTAAAAAATTTTTTAATGTGAGCTAGATCAAGAACATTCAATACAAAGTGCCCTCTTTTTGGAAGAATCATCCTCAAATGTTTAATATTGCTTTCAGATATGTAGTAAAATAAAACTTTTTTATAGGAGTTTACTGTTTACTTATTAAAATGACCTCAACTAATCATGTTAGATATCAATTTTCTTAAAGCATATCATATTTCATTTCTTTAGTTAATCTTACTTCTTCATTGTAAGGCAGCAATAAGGAGGTTTTGCCAAATGTTTTGTCATATTATTGTTTCTGAATAGTTAAAGAACTGACTAAAAAGTCCATTCACTTATATGAGGATTGACTAATGGTTCATTCAATATAAATTTATATATATCTGAGAGCATGTTTTATATGTTAGTTTGCCATCATTGCTTGAGTTTTGAGTGTAATAGAATTAGTGGTGTTGCATGTAGCTTATACCTCCACGGCGGCCCTAAAGGAGGAGCCCGTGCCTATTCTTCTTACAACCCTGTGTCTCGTCAGGATTCGGAACTCCAGAGTCTCAGTTCAGATGCCAGAACTGAATCTGATAACATGTCTCTTACTGATAGTTCACTGTGAGTAGTAGTTTGTCTTGTTTGGTAATTTATTTCAACCAATTTAATTCTTTTAATATAAGTAAATTTTTGAAATAATTAAGATTTTATATTATCAATTATTTTATTAAGTGGTTATTTTAAGTTAGCACCATACAGCTAGTTGATTTTTATATGAAATAGAGCCATTTTACTTTGAATATTTTATCAAAAATAGTTAGCTTTCTGTTTCAAAATATTTAATTTTATTGTAAACAATTATGCTGTAATTTTTAAAAATTAAAATTAAACTTTTTGATTTCAATAATAAATTATATTCCATATCCGTATAAAAGAATAAAAATTGTTTCAAAAATTTAAAAAAAGAAAAAATTCAAAAGATTGTTGTAATAAATTACTTCCTATTAACATCAATCAATGCAATATCTAACCTAACTTTTGAGATGGTAAAAAAGATAATTATTAAGATTATACCATTAAGTGATATAGATATGATATGAGACAAGCAGTTCCAGTTCATGCACTATATTGTGATAGAAAAATTAAAGGAAATTTCCACATATTATGCTATTAATTAAATACCTAAAAAATTAAAATTAATAAATATTTCCTGACCTTTATTTGTCTTGGTCGGTAATAGCTGGTAAAAGAAAATGTTTGCAACATTCATGGTGTAAATACTGCTCCAACTGGATTTGTCTTCATGTCAGAACTGTTTTATTTTTTATCTACAACATCCATTATTGGTAAATAACAATAAAAAGAATGTAGTTTATTGTCCGCGGTACAGACATCTTTTTATCAAATTATTAATATCTGTCAGAAACTTTGCAGCTAGCTTCATCTCATCGTAACCTATAACTATTTTATTTACGAAAATTCTAGGAATTGGGACATTTTCAATCTGGTGGTCGGCAAACTTTGTCTATTTAATTAGGTAGTAAAAGCTCGTAAATACCCATTTTCTTTCCGCTTGGATTGTAAGATTATTTGATTACAAAATTGATAAAAAAATGTGGTCTACAAAAATCTGTTACCTTTGCCTTATATAACCTCATTATTTGACAATTTGAGGGTGTAGGTCATGCCAAACAGCTCAATGTTTTTGAAGGCCACCTTTTTTTTTTTTTTTTTTTTTTTCGCCTTTGCACTCAAATTATCTTACGATTCAAGTGCAGAGCAAGTAGATATTTATGGGTTTTTAATACATAATTAAATAGACAGTGTTTTCCGATCTTCAGATTGAAAACGCCCCAATTCTGAGAATTTTGTAAATAAAATATTTGTAACTTACGAGATGAAGCTATTTACGAAGTTTCAGGCGGATGATAATAATTTAATACCAAGGGGTCTGCACGAGGAACTATTATTGATTATAATAATGAAAATAAATAATTAAAATGGTTTAAATTCTTTGTTTATTTGTCTTGATTTATATCCATAAATTTTAAATATATTTTTCAAATCAATAATTCATCAAGGATAGAACCTTATATGTAAGTAATTCATAACTTGCTAGTAAAATTTTAAGTCCCCTCTTAGTTAGAAGCATTATTTCCTTTATGTAAAAGTTTTTATGAAATTATATTTCACGAAATTTAGGTTCTTATATAATACTTATTTGTTTAGGGATAGCATGTCTTTAAGTCACCACAAAATGTCCCGTAAGCAGTACCAACGACACTGTCAAAGGGTAAAGGAATCTGCAACTCTTAATCGGGATCCTTACATGCACCAGACTCTAATACCAAGGACACAGAGGATCCAAACCGAAAAGGTTAGCTTATATGATATTTTTTGGAGATTGTATGATTTTTTTTTTAAGATATCTTCTTTTTAGAATTTTGTTATATATTTGGTTAAACATGAATAAGCCTAATTGAATCTTCAGAAACTGTATTTGCGCTCACTTATTTTCTCCCAACTCAATTGGTTTTAGATTTATTCATAGATATTGTGACCCAGAATATATATGAAAGCAGAAATACTTTTATATTACAGAAATTTAACTTTGCTCTCTTTAATAAGAAATAAAAAACTAAGTGTGTTGTACACATCATAATACATTCACTTATCACCCTACTTTAAGTAGAAATAGATGATTTGGTATATTAGTAAGTGAAAACTATAGTTATTTCTCCAACCATCTAATCTGTTAAATTAATAAATTTTTCTAAAATATTTAACTTTCCAATAGCACATAATACATCCATATATGTATCTTTATTGTCTCATACTAAATTGATTTTAAATAATATAGTTTTATGTTCAATATATTAAATAGGGATTAAAAGAAAAAAAAAACATTAATAATAAACATAACCCAATATTATATAATTACATTAAACATAGGAACTTTTGGTGAGTCAACTGTCTCGAAATGTGTTCTGATGAATCATTAAAGCATAGAAGTATAAAGATTATAATTCTTCCCTTTAAAAATAAAAACAAGTTAATTTCATTTTATTAAAAATTAAATCTATAAAAAGTACCAATAAATACACAAAAACAAAATTGATTTATTTGCACCCAAATATAGAAATATGTTGGCTAATGATTTAAAAAGTAGTTATCTATGCTTTAATTATAAATATGGCTAATAAAAATGAAATACCTTCATTAATGATTTTTTAAATTACAATTCAATGTTTATAATTCATTATTAATAATTTAACTATATCTGAATAACTGATATCTCCAATGATAAAATAAAGATAGCTTTGCTTATTTTATCAGTACATACAATGCTCTTCAATTTATTTGTATTTGTCTCATTCATTTTTATATTATATTTCTATCGTATTAGTTTATGTTCTATTAAAAAAAGATAGTGGTATGAAAATGTTTGCATCATGGTTCCCTAGTAGCCCTATTTTTTTTATTACTGACCATCATTCATTAGTCTTTACAGTGATTTGTTTTTCCTATATTAATTAGTAAATTAGATAGATTGTCACTCAGTGAAAATTTTTCTTTTTAAGGATTCACATCTAGATTTTTGTCTATATTTCTTTTGTCATGTCAAGCTGGCGACATACCTTTGTAATCATTTGGCATTTCAAATTTATTTTGTCCTATCAATTTAGGTTTTATTCATATTAAAATTATCTATTTGATTAAAATGAAGGGATAATATTAATTTTAATTTTGTGTAATATAAACAAATTTAATTAAATAACCAATGTAATTATTATTTAACTTGTAATTAACTATTAATGCCATTGTTAACTTTAAAATGGAAACATTTGGCTAACTGATAATATTTAGGTACTATTTTGCTTATTAAAAATATTAAATATTTTATTTTCGTATCCTTATAGGCATATACAAATTCAAAATATATAAGTAATTAGTTTATATATTTAAATGTATATTTTTTTTTACTCTGCTCCACTACTACTCATGGTGGATCATAGAGCCAACAGTTATTACATTATTATTATAATAAATAATTTTAAAGTTTATTCTGTTAATTTAAGACATAATGAATTAAAAGTTATAATTTTTTAATTTTTATTCACATGAATTAAACATTATGATGTCCTACATTTTATTGCTTTTTACGTAAATACTTATATAATTATAAATATAATAGGTGCTATTTATTTACTCATTTAATTGTCCTTTTTTAATAATTAAGTTTAAAATAGAATAGAGAAAATTTTAGAGTTAATTACAAGCAGAAACCATTAGTTTAGTTTTGAATTGATTGAAATCACTATATTAGAATTAACTTTTCTAATTTGTTTAATGTCAACATCACACACTGATAACAGGCTATTAATTTACTTTACTTCTGTTTTGAATTGTTCTCTTGGATAAACAGAAAATAGTTTTGCTAAATGAAGTATGGTCAGAAGAAATAACATTGAACTGTTTACTAAAACAGTTTTCATTGTTATCTATAAATATTGTTTTTAATCTTTGACCATTATGAGGAATTGACATGAAGGCAAAAATTATAAATATTCATTAAAAACAGACTGTTGGATTGTATCTTCCCATGGTATCTGTTATCTGTTGAAATCTATCCAATGCACCTATTAGGTTTGAGTGACCTTGTCTGATAAGATATTAGTATAGGACTGAAGCCATAATAGGGCTTGTTGCAATGGCCCTGTACAATTGATGTTCTAATTCTTTCTATAATCAGTCTTCTATGATTTCTAACAATCCATGTGACTGAAATATGATATTAGTTGGTATAAATTTAAATATGCATTTTCTCGACCATGGCATGTCAAGTTCATCTTCATCATCTAGCGATGACACGTTTGATTCTTTCATGTTTATGGTTGGATTAACAAATGTGAAAAAGGTTTGTTAATATTTGTAATTAAGAGAGAATTAAATTGTACATGTTATTTTAATTCTTTTTTTTTATTCAGTTGCATAAAATGGAACCAGAACAGTTTGCTGCTATCCTCATCAAAAAACTGGAAAGTGTTAAAAGAAGCCAAGAGATCCAAGAAAAACTAGCCCATAAGCTCTTTGAGGTTTGTATTCATCCATATCTAGTTTTGAACATTATTGTTATTACTATATATATTTATATAAATATAATACATTAAGATAAATTAAATTGTTCGCCAACAATGATTGTACTATAAAAATGTTATAGCTTTAAAATCATTTTAAACTACTCAAATTTTTAAAAATTTAGATGTTCATAATAGTTAAATTATGAACAACAAAATTTAATAAAGAAGTTATAGCAGAGATCAATAGAAGTATGATATTAATCCAGCTACTGTGTTATTTATTGATAAGTTTCTAATGTTTATTAGTGAGCTTTAATGCTCATCATAACACATTATTCATAAGTTGATATTATTATTTAAACTTTATTATACTATTTCACTTAATTTAAACTAAAATTAGGAAAGAATCAGATGTTTTTTAAAATATTTGTTTACTATTTACCTTGGAAACTTTTATGCACCTAAGAAAAACAAAATAAATTTTAATTAGCTGTTTTGATTATTTTATGGCAAAGAAAAATCTAAATGTAGCATAACATTTTTCTCGCAGTAATAATTTTATTTTATTGTTTTGTATTGTAATGAAAATACCATGATTGGTAAGATGTTTAATATTGCATTCAACTGATAATGAGAATAATTCTAAAACTATGAGCTATTAAAAAATAATAATTCTTTTAATTTCTCTTAAAAGTGTGTTACTTTAGACTAATTAGTTTACAAAAGAGGTGGATCCAAGTTATAATTATAACTGACATGTTTTAACTTTAAGGAATAATGTCAGTTCAGTTTTAAAGCTTTTTTTTTTGTAATTAACTTTTTCCTTTATGTTTTCTTTAAGATTTTATTTTATAAAATTTGCATTAGCCAATTAATCTGTTATTCACCATTTTAAATTGCTTTCATATGATTTTAGAGTGAAATTGGAGAAGGTGGTGGCCCATCTGCAAGAAGTTTAGCGGATGCAATTAGAGAAAGATTTCAGATAGACGATGATAATGACCAAGATATCTTAGGTAAAAATTTCTAAGTAATATTAATTCTAATCAATGTTATTTGTCTATCTTCATTTATTAAATGGATCATTCAATTTAGGCCTAAAATCAATTACAAATTTAATAAATACTTTTTTATTATTTTGTGTGACAAGCTATTATGATGTGGAGATTGTACTGTAGGAAAGGAATAACTTATTGTTTTTAAAAATAGTTCTGTCATTTGTTTATTAACAAATTCTGATGAATTCTCTAGTTGTTATTTTTGATTATTTAAAATTTTAATAGTAAATCAAATTCAAGAAGCTATTAAATGACATAATAATAAGGAACAATACAGAAATTTTATGAAAAATGGAATGTATGATCAGTTATTACATTTTATTTAGATCAACATGTTTCTCGAGTCTGGTCAGATCTAACCCCCGCAAGGACCCCAGGCGTCACATCACCTCGACCCAAGTCTCCAGATTTTAGAAGGGCAAGACCTAATCAACCTATGAATAAGGTATTAAAACTGCCTTGCTCTATTTAATTCATACATATAAATCATTGATGTGTAATTACTTTTTTTTTTAAATTACTTTTTTCTTTTCTTTAGGTGTGTGTGAGTGGAGGTGGACCAACTAATGCTCCATATGTAGGCCATCATCCAATGTCGGTGCCCCATCCTTACCAAACAAGGCCTTACACTACAAGGCATGTTAGGTCTAAAGATAGGGTGAGTTTATTAATAAAAATGCCTATCTTACCATTAATAATCTCAGAGGATTTTTTAATATTTATGATGTTTTCTCTTGCTTTTAGGATGTATTTTCTACATTCAGTTCCGATTCTGGAAACGTACATGACTATCTAGAATCACTAGACCACCGAGGGCACCTTCCGAAGAGTAAATCTATGCCTGAATATGCCGACTCATCCGACACCTATGCCTCTCTTCAAAGTAAGCATGTTAACATAAACCTATTTATCTTTAAGGGGGCAGGGTAGTCGAATAGGCTAAAGTTTGTGCAAAGCACCACGAGTTGCCCGGCAACCAGATATATGAAGTTTTGAGAGATTAAAAAAAGTACGAGTTAGCGTCCCGGTGCCGGAGGGGATTTTAAATTCCCTGCCCTCACCCCTCGGGACGGGGAAATCCTGTATAGCCTAAAAGGCGAGGTAGCAATAAATAGAAAAAAACAAAAAAAAAAAAAACCTATTTATTTTGATAAAATACATTATTTAATTACATTAATCAATTACAGAGTTAAAGTCAAACATTTACTTATGAAATTTATAGAACAATATTTAATTTATTTTTCCTATTTTAAAATTAAATTGATAATTATTTTCTTGTTTTGTAGTAAAGATATTTTATTTAATGAATTTTTTTATAGGTCATGATGGAAGGTTTCGGGGGAGCCGAGAGTGGGTCAACAGTGGTGGGAACAGGAGGTATAGCAAGAAACCAGAGCTCACAGACAGCGGTGTCAGCGTTGTTTCTGAGTCGGTGTCTAACCATGGCTCTCTGCCCAAGAAAGATAGGTAAGAGACTTTTTTGTTTTGTTTTTTCACAAATTTTAGTCTAGTGGGAAAAAGTCCTTTTATTGTAGCTATTGTAATAATAATAAAATGTATGCCAAATTAGAATATGATTGGGAGTATTTTCAGCAGAATGATTACAATTTATATTTCATTCGGCTAATTTTTAAAGGAACTTTTCAATCTAAATTACCAGCCGTGGCAGGATAAAAGGGGAAATTGTTCTTTATGCAATATGAATGCACTGGAAGATAACTTTCATTTTATATCTGTATGCCCAATACTAAAAGAGTTCAGAATAGCATTTTTAGTAGGTATGCATCAACTAAATTTTATGGAAACGATAAATAATATAATATTAAATGGCCCAAACTACAGAAATCTTTATTTGTATTTAAAAACATCCACTAATTATAGATGTGTATAAGTGAGAGAATATAATTTAGAATTAAAGGTCTCTAAGTTTATGTTTCTACATTATGTAGGTATATTTATAGTTTTATATTTAGAAAGAATTTTTAGTTAAAATTGAGATTTTTTAAAATTAAGTAGATAATATTGCAATTGGGATGTTGTTTTATTGAAACTGTGAATTCTTAAAAGATAAGCTATCTCCACGAATAAACTAAGTGAACACTCTGACAGACGAACATAAGTTCATTGTCGATAAATCGTTTAATTATATGTAAAAAAAAAAAATATGATATTATGTACTTTGTAAACAAATAAACACTTCTATCTTTCTTTAGCTGTTGCAAAACAAATTTTGGCAATTCAATTTTAAAATAGTAATTTCGCGTATCAATCATCAGATTAAATTTAAACATTCAAGTACACTGACTATAATATAATAGATATTCATTTATTTAAAATGTATCTCTTTATTCTTGCATTAATAAAATTTTGTAAGAGAATAGAATTAAATTTTTAGAACATTGATGAAACATTTAATATTTCCAATAATTTATTTTAATACCTTATCGACTTACTATATATTTTGAATTCCCGCCTAACAGGAATATATTTAACAAAACCAAACGAAAGCTTAATAGAAATTTCTTCTTATTTATGAATCATAATACTCTCTTAATTCCATTAGTCTCATAAATCTAGAAGTTCAGTATTTACAAACATTTTTAAGCTAAATACTATTCAAAACAATTTTAATTTTCTATTGATTAATTCTTTTATTTTTTATTATTAGTCGTGTATTGACTTGGCTGATTGACAGTGACCAAACAGGTGGTTGTAACATGTCAGAAAGAGATTCTGCTTCATCTTGTTCTGGAGGTTCGCGATTTGACAGTAAACACCATGCCAGGTACACTTTCTTATTATTTTTTGCTCCTGTACAATCAATATCATTGTAAAAAATATTTCTTGACCAACTCACATAAAACAATACTTTTTAATAAATTCACAATCCACATATTCCTTTCTCAAATTGGTGCTTAACAAATTAATCTTTTTAACTAAATGCAACATGTCAGAAGTTGAATTGTTTTCTCTGTATTTACTTAGTTTGTTGGCAACTTTTTTTTGTCCATTGTAATTTTGTTTATTGAATTTCAGAAGGTTAAATAACTTATAAACCTCAGTTCATACTAAAATTCCTTTTTCTTAATTCATCATTGCCCCTTTTCTGACTTTCAAGCCTATTAAATCAATATTATATTATATAGCCAGTATTTTGTACAATATAATACTTATATTGTTATAAGTTTTTATTTTTTATTATTATTAAAAAGATATTACAGGTAATCACAATTGTCCAGAGACATCCACATATTTCGTATTATTGCCAGTTTTTATTAATCAAATTTTAAAAAAACATTTAAAGTGAAATATTAATTAAAATGAAACATATTCACAGGGGTAGACGCACACCACCACCTGGTAGTAACTACATGGGCGACTCATCACTCGTTCCTTCTATGATACAGGCAGAGGAGGTTCGAAGGAGGCTAGAGGATCCGCTTAGAACTAAACAAGTGAGGCCAAGGTATGTGCTTGCCATCAATATTTAGCTAATTAAAAAACCTTTTGTTTTGTCATGTTTCATATACATTAATAATAATTAACTCCATAAATTAAATTAAGGAAAAAAGTTTTATTAATTATGTTTCACTTATATTAGTATTTTCTTAACTTGAAAATCATGATTTTCAATTTATTTCTGACTAGAGGAGTGTCAATTTCCGAGCTTTCAATGCTATTAATAAAGAAGTTTACTTCAAAATAATAGTTGTTAAAACTTTAAATGGTGAATTATGATTTCGTTGCGTAATATAAGCAACTTGTTTATGAATCACGATCTTTTCGAAAAATACAATATATTTTTAAAAAAATTAAAATCGTTTATGATAAGGCTGTCAAAATTTTATGAAGTGAAATAATGTTCTAGGAATTATCCTTATCTTGAAAATAAATCTTATCAAAACAATGGTCATTAAGAGAAATAGTGTATCAATCAATAAATCAACAATGAAAAATATGGGAGTGTTCAGGAATATTTCTGGGATTTTATAAGAAAAATGGTACTTAGTCTGGTTGATAGTTAAAAAAGTTGTGTTCTAAATTTTAATATCTTCGTTAGTTTCAAATGTGGTATAGCAAATATTGTCAGTTTAAAGGATGAAAAGGACTTCTTTTAAGAGAATAGCCTCTGAACCGAAGCAGATGCATGTGTACATCTTAGCGATTACAATTAGGCAATGCAGGTTATCTTAGTTCCTACTAGCAATTTTTTTTTTTATTCTTGGACTTTATTTTTTATAACTTCAGTTATTAATCCATTGATTTCATAAATAACTTTATTCTAGTAAAATGATATAATCAAAACCCTTTCTTACCTAATATTTTTTAGGTGCAGCAGTGGACAACCAAAAGTAGATCCAGTATCATGTGGTTCAACATTGAAGAAAGGAAAATCGTCTTCATCAGAAGGCTATACCACCGTTGTCTTTTCTTTTTGTGATGAACAGTTCCCGTACAGATCAAAGATCCCTGGTCATTCCATCACACTGAAACAATTCAAGGAATTTCTGCCAAAAAAAGGAAATTACAGGTAAATAAAATGTTATAATTAGTTGAAATTTTAAATTTCTTGATAGGTATAATATTTTAAATATTATTTATCATTAATCTTAGGGGACTTTTAATTTCATGTTGATTAGTCTTTACAACACAGCATGAACACCTCTATGCAGTCTATGATTTGCACATTTTAGTGTTATGACAGAAAAAAACCAAGATTACTTATATGCAGATGAAATATAGTATATGACTCCTAGACAACTAAGCATGTATTCTGTATTTTAAAGTTGGAATATATTTTTAGATACCTAGAGTGTTGTTACTGCTTCTAATATGCCTTTTTTAGCTGTTCATCTGAGATTTGTCTGCACTTTTGTATAATCTTGTATTTTTTCTGTCCTGAAATGCCTAAGGTCAGAACTTTTGACTGCTAGGTTGTTTACTGATATTTTAGAGATTCAAGACTTGAAATCTTCTAATTATATCCTAACAATTTTTCTGTATATTTTCATGGTTTTGCCCTTTTGCTTTTTGTATTTATCATGAATTTTTAATATTTAATTTATTTTTATAGATTCTTCTTTAAAACGGAGTGTGAAGAATTAGACATGCAAGTTATTCAAGAAGAAATTACAGACGATAATGAGGTGCTCCCACTGTGGGAAGGAAAAGTAATGGCCCAAGTGAAACCCGTAGACTAAGTAAAAATAAAAAAATGTCATTTGCCATTCATTGCCTGTTTGGCTTTATAATTAATGACTGCATTTTTACCAAATGCTCCTTGTTTAAATACTTTTGTTTCTCTCTAATTGAAATTGTTGCAATGTCTTCCAATTTAGATTAGCCAGTTGAGAATTCTGTTTATTTACTCTGTATTTTTCACAAATTGTACATAAAACTATAATTTAATTTTAAAAATGGTGCCTTTAATCATATATAATTCCTTTTCTTGTACATATTTTAATTTTCTGTTATTTATATTATCATCTAATTGTTATCTGTTGAAAGACTCCATTTTTAAATGTATTTAAGAAGCAACAATTGTTTTGTAAATACTGAAACCAATATAATAAAAAATGTTATTGTAAATAACAAGGTGACTATTAATTGTTTATTTCTGATATTTTTATTGTCCTCCTGTTTTATTTTAATTTATATATTTTAAAATATCAGAATTACATCAATTGTAAGTTCATCAGCTGTATACTTGTAAATAATTTATATTTAATACCTAGCAATATTTTTTTAACTGGTATTTTAATTATAATAATTTTCATTTAAGTTATTATAAGCCTTAAATTACACGGTGCCTGATGAAGCACATCAGTAATACATTTGTATGTGCCACATATAATTTAATTTTACTTGTAATATTTAAAGACTGTTAAATCAATTTTTGTTAACAGTATAATAGCTTAGTGTATTCTTTATAATTAAAATAATATGTGAATGGAAAGAGTTTTATATGATGGCGCTGGTATGATTGTTTAGAATCAAAAGTTCCTTTATAGATTTGCTTCCTACATTGTGTTGGGATTTAATACCTTTAAGGCTTAATTTATTACCTCATCGTATTTTTAATGCTGTATAATGTTAATAACTTTATAAAAGAAAGATAAATGTACATAAATATATATATTATATTATAAAAGTCAGTTTTTATTGTATTAAATTTCCCAGAAGTTTTGTTTGCTGAGTTATGATAAAATTATATTAAGAAGTATATTATTTCATTCTCTTCATATCACTTCAATAATTACATTGTAATACATAAATATTATATACATTGAAATCCAAAAATCAATCAGATGGTATAATAATAGTACAATAATGGTCTAGTGTTGATCAACTTTTGTAAATGTAAATTTGTTTATAAAAAATTTGTACCACTACAACCCAATAAGAGTTTTTGGGTCCAGTACTTTGTTAGGGAGTACTGTTTCAAGGTCAGTGGTTTTGCAAGGGATGTGAATCGGGCCAAGATCACGCTCAACCACCAGGTTTTCCTCCTTAATTAATTATCTAATTAAGATCACCCATTTTATAGAGTCTGAGTGTGCTTAAGAAGGGTTTCCAAACCCCATGGTCCATCCACTGCTAATAAAAATTACCGGATTCGAACCTGAAACTTCAAGCTTCGCATCCCAGTGCCTAATTCACTGAATAACTCCCCTGATAAATTTGTTAATAATTAAAAATTAAATGTTTCAGTTCTTGTGGACAAATCATTTACAAGTAATGGATAAAGTTGGTAAATTTGAGTTTTAAAAAATTGAATACAATGGTCTCAAAAATAATTATAACCACTTGAATATCCTTTTTAAATATTTTTACCTATTTAGCCCTGATAGTGCCGTGGCCCATTCTATTTGTCACCCTATGTGGTCATCAGTGAAGTTTTAATTTGTTATATAAAATGACATCAAAGCAGATGACAACAGAAGAGTTTTATCATGTATGGCGGAGACAGAAAATGTTGTAATCAATAAAGAATTGCCCTTAAAAGCAATTGGTTTCAATACATTTTGAATATTAAAAATTAGTTATAACTTTTTTTTTTTTTCATTTAACTTTTATTTTGGGTAAAAATTTTATGTTCATTCCTCAACCCTGCAATATATTGCACAATGTCATGTTAGTTTCATGGGATGCTTTTCCAATCAGGAAATTGATTTTGTATTTCAATACAATAAAGCAATATCCCCTCACCTCACCAGTAACCTTTTAAAATTATTTTTAGTCAACACTAAGTTAACAATTTTTTAATTTAAAGAATAGAAGGCTACTCTTAATGTTGGGAAAAAAAAAAAAAATCAATTTACGTGATGTAGGAAAATAACTATAAACTGATCGCATGTGTTGTGAAAGCAGCCATAGTGTGAACTTGATCTAAACACAATGTTGCGATCTCTGTTTGGAAGGGTTAAAAAATTCTAAATAAATTTCATAGGTTAATCTCATTTATCATTTAATTTATAAGCCACCATTCAATGCTAGTTTAGAGAAGAGTATAATTATTTATTAACACAATTAAGCAGTATTATTAAAATTGGCATAATTACGAATTACACATATTTACATCAAAAGGAAAAGCAGTTTAATTTTCCACTCCCTAATGAAAGTCAAGATTTTATAACAGTACTCTAGACCATGAGTTGAAACTGTTTTTTAAAAAGTTCAACTTTAACAATTCCTAAGAAACTTTTTTGGAAAAAAGTTCTTAAAATAAAGTCATAAAGAACTTTTTTTTTTATTTTATTAAATATCTAGATTTACAATGAAAGTTTTAACTTTTATTTAAGTTCCTTAAAAAGTTCCATTAAATGAGAAATTAACATTAGTTGGGCTTAGATTATAGTTACAATTTGTCTTAACTTAATTACACATATTAGTAAAAAAAGGCATTTTCAGTCCCGATAAATAATAAATTTATCAACATTTTTACCTCTTCAGGGATAATCTGATTTTACATGTAATTCAAAATTTTCATTCGCTTTTTAGCACTAAGTGTGGATGTGGGTGCACTGCTACAAAGCGCATGAAAATTTTGAATTACATGTAAAATCAGATTATCCCTGAAGAGGCGAAAATTTTGATAAATTGAAATAAAGTTATGATTTATCGAGTCTGAAAAGGCCTTTTTCTACTAATACGTATTGTTGTCTCTTTCCCAAGATCATCTTTTATTAATTACACATGATTCTTATGAGACGTTTGTTTGAGTAGCTAAGGATAAAAATTATTTTTTATGATGTCAACTTTTTGGCAAAATTGACAGAACTTTTAAATTAAAGTTCTGTTAAATTAAACCTTTACTAGAAAGTCGCAAGGGAAAAAGTTCTAGTTCCAAATGAACTGAAAACCAATCTACAATAAAAGTTCAAATGATAACGAAACTTTTTAAAAATAACAGTTTTTTTTTCTGTTTCAAGCCTTGTTTAAGACAATATATTTTGGAAAAATATCATATAGCAATAATTGAAAGTATTGACTAAATTAAGGCCAAAACAATACAAAAACATAAATAAATACATGATAGTGGAGCAATTATTGAATGTTGATTCTTATAAGTTGATTGGGATTGCAGTCATGGAAGTACACAAAAAAAAATATTATTTTCTTTGTGCTGACGTATCGGCCCAAGTTTCAGGGCTGAGCAAATAAATAGTCAGAAAATAATATAGTGAAGTAATATGTAAACTTACTATGTCTGCTATCTCCAATTGAATTATTTTATAAACAAATATATTTTATTTATGCTAAATATAAGATTGCTCGAAATTTGCTGCCCTCTTAACATTGTCGTCTGAGACATGAGTCCGTTGCTCTCACTAGTTACTGTCTTGTGTTAATAATAAGGTATATTTCTTGGCCCAACAATCTTTTCTGCAAGGGACTTGAGAAAACTTCCCAAACATGGTATTTTAAATGAAGGATTAAGCTTTCTTGGGTTTCTCTGTTTTCTGTTTCAGCCACAAAAATAGAAGCAGTATTTAATTTACAAATTTTAACTTTAGGACATGTTCCGTTATTATATCAGTTTCATAGACCACTTGTATATTATGCATAGGTTAATATGTTAATATAGAAAAATATGTTTTCTAACATACTAATAGATAATTGTTACAAGAAATAGGTATTAAAAAATATATATATATTAAATATGTTTCAAACAAGTGTGTGTACCTATGGGCATAAATAAATAATGTTTATATTAATGCAGTTAAAAATATAGGAAATCCAAAAAGAAGTAGTATAAATAATGAAAGAGTCACTAAAGGATAAGCTCTATGAGAGCAGAGAACTTTATAGAAAGTTGGGATTCGATAGTTAAAAATGGATAGAGGAATATAGGTGAGTAAATTAAAAATATAATGAGGCTTTACGCTAATTACTAAAGGGATGAATAGAAAGAAGTGCTCTAGTTATTACCTGCAAAACCTACTTAATTTTCTACACCAACTGAAGAAATGGAAATACCTGGGAACCCTGAAGCTGAATCAAATGAAATAATTTATGTCTATTCAGTCGTATTTCAAGCACACCAAACTACACCATACATCAGTTCAACGTTGGTGGTATAAGAATGTTTCTTATATTGATTTAAGAAACTTGACAAATATAAAATAATTTTTTTTAACAATTCGATAACTTTAATATGGCAGATTAATTAATATATCAGACTTTCCGATAATTTTGAGTTTAGAAAGTATCTCAATTCGGAATAGAAGGATCAACTTATTCTGTAATTGAATCAAATGATTAAAAAAACAAACAAAAAAACATAAGCTGATATACAAATAAACTACTTACTGTCAGTTTCATCATTATTACATTCATTAATTATTTCACTTATCTAATAGTGGAATAAAGACACTTTAATAAATAGATTTTTTTTTTTTTTAATCCAAAAAACGCACATTTAACCAATAATGTTGAAATATATGTAATTGAAAACACCTCCACTTTACTTAATTGCAGAATAATCTATGTCTAATTATAATACTCCAGATATTACGTTGTGAATATCAATAAAAGTAAACAATTGGTTTTAGGCGGGTTCTGTTCCCGGGCGCGGGTTTGTCAACTTTTAAGGTCCTTGACTAACCCAATTTAAGGCTTGGTAGGAAGTTTTCATGTCTTTAAGTACATTGTATTATAAAATGATGGTTTATAAAGGAGTTCATTGAAAAAAAAAAAAACACTGTCTTTTCCAATAAACATAAAAATACCAATATTGATTAAAGTAATCGTTTTGTCAACAATTTTCTGGAAACCGGAAATCGGTCTCCGATTTTCATTTCGATAGGTATTTTTAAATTATATTGTCTTATGAAAATAACAATATTCTGTAAAATGAAGAGTGCTTTATTCACGAATTATTTGTAATAAAGTTTACTGTATCCTATAAGTTGAATTAGTAGGGTTGAGATATGGGTACAAACAATTTTTATTGATTAGTAAACAGATAAAATAAGGTAGATCTTTATATTGAGTATAGAACAGCTTTTAAGCTATTTTCCAAATAAAATGAACAATGTTGGAGTCAACAAATAGTGACCAATCACTGAACATTTTTAAAATCATGTAGTAATCGCTAAAAACACTAATAGTCC